CCTGCTGGTATCCCATGAGTATCTCAGGAGGCATTTTAAGTGATTAGCCATTTAAAAAAAAAGAAAAAAGAAAAAAGAGAAATTAATAAAGTAATGCACAGCAAAGTTAAGTTACTTAAACACAGTCATACAGAGTTAGTAGCACAGCAGACACAAAAACCTAGAGACACAAGGCCCAGTCTCATATTGGAACTGTCAGTTGGCATTGCTTGCATATAAATTATAACTGGGAACTGAACAAGAAACGTGCTGAATTTTGGTCAACCTTTACATTAATAGAAAGCTTCATATGGGGATTAGGAAATGAACAAAGTTTTTTTTAAAAAACGACATATTGTTATGTAGATACGTATAAATCAGTGGCAGGATGTTATACTTTGACATCAGAGCAGAGAAGGGAGGATATATTCCGCAAGAAAATAAGCTCGTGGAAACCATCAGGTACAGTATCAATATAGTAGCTACCCTGGGGTCTGCATCTACGCCTTCCCTTATTTGCTCTCTCCCTAAGCACGAGAGACCTGATCCAAAAGATAACGATATAGAGAAAGTTGAAAAAAATATGCCTGGGCATTTCCGGAAACGACATAAAAGAAAACCACCCACCCGCAATTAATGGTTTCCTGTAATATGACTGAAACTCGTAGGTGGTATTCTTGCAGCCACTTTAAAAGTGTCAGATGTTGACAGCTGAAAATTTCTACTTAGAAGACAATTAGTTCCCTAATCAGTAGATTTTTCTCTTTTTAAGTGAGGAGCTACGGCCAGCCAACGACAGCTGTATTTGGAGTTGGGAAAATTAACCATATTTAAGTCCAAGAGCCCGATCTAACTCAAGCTGTGTTTATCCCAATATAACGCCTCTGACTTCATGGTATGACTCATGATATACCCTTACATATATTGAAAAATTACCAAAACGTTTTTGTAAACGTTCTCTTTCAGTTCTCTTTCAGTGAAGTGTGTCTTCTTCTGAATGACAACATTTGAATTTTTCAAATAAGAAACTTGTGATTAGTTTCAAAAAATTCTGACACACATAACATTCAAACAGATTTGTACAAGAAAAGGATGCAATTTATTTTCCAGAAGCTAAGTCTGTAAGTTGAAATTCCTGAAGTCCATTTTCTCCTCACTCTCTGCATCTCAGACATACAATGGGTGTTATACTTATATACGGGCTCAGGAAAAAAATATTACGGTAGAAAGGCAGATCTTCAATTGACTGAAAGTGAAAAAAGTAACGAAAGAGTGCCTAACCCCCGACGAGACTCATAAGATATGAAAAAGTAACCGGATTTCACAACTTACTGTCCAATACTTAATGAAATACTTGAAGACTGTTGCAGCAATATACAAGCAATACAACAAAGAATAGGCTAAGAACAGTAGAAAGAATTTGTAGTTAGAAAATCCAATGCAGTTATTCACCCTAGAGAATAAAAGCAAAGTTGAAATCAGGATATGTACAGCACACAGTTACAAAGACAATGAATATCACATTTTTTTTTGGTTTTTTTATTTAAGGCTCTTGACTACACAACACAATTTCTTCAATAAATAGCTCCCCTTAGTGGTCAAAATGAAATATGACTCAATTCTTTACTTTTTGCTTTTCACCTGATGGCTAGTAATGCCAAGGAAAAAACACAGTTCGTATTTTTTACTTTCATTTTAAAGTTTGTACCACTGGTAAATTTGTCACTGAGGCAGGCTTTAATTACTCGTGTCCGTTTCTGGTGGTCTGCAAAAGTAATCAGAGCTGAGATTCTACTCTTTGGAACACTCGGGAGTCAGATTCACCATGGCAATATATGGAGTTGTTTGTTTATACACAAACATATCAATCTGCTATTTGATTGTAATTCTCCACGCACAGAACAACGCCAAAGAGGTACAAGGGAATGCAGAAAAGTTAGTAGGCGTAACATTTGCCTCAGAATTCAGGTTTGAAAAACCCTCTAAATTTAGGAGTACCAGGGAAGTTCAGGTGGGCACATGTCTGCGTTGCTTGTGGGTTCTGAAATCTTCCTTTTAAGAAAAGGAGGAGTTTAAGAAATTCAGTGGTAGTAATTCTCAAAGCATAAAGCTTAATTCATCCATGCACCATTCTACTTAACATGCACAAGTGGCAGGCATCATTTTAGAAACAAACTGCATGCAAATATTACTGTTGAAAGCAACCACTAACTGCATGCTCAAATGATTATATATCCAAACTTAAAGGTTAAGTTGAGGTCCCTTTAAAATTTGAATAATAATCAAAGACTGAATTAGTATTTGTGTTTTAAATTGTGTCAACATAACAGCTTTTACATATAGCCAATGGAACAAATATATGAATGATCTGTCTCTCAAAAATATCAAACATTTCAGGCAGTTTCAAAGTATGCTTATTTTATAAGTTTCCCAGCATAAAGAGATGTATGGTCTAAAATGAAAGAGGCATATAGACACTACTCTATGGAGGAAAGGCATTTGAACAGCCTCTCTTTTCAGAAAATTACAAACCAGTATCTAGGACATACCACGGACAGTGATGATCCATTTTTAGCACACATCTGCAAAAGGACAAAAAAACAAAAAGGGAAAACTTGTATTTGGTACTTAATTGCCAACTGCAGATCAATAGCAAAAGCCTCTGGTATTTTTGGCAGATTTCTACAACAATACAAAGTCAAGATGATACCACCTCTTTGAATTCTTTAAGGTAGGTATAATTTTAGGACACGTTACTTTTTAAGATCTATCAGTGTCCTTGGTACTGTGCAAGATAAAAAGAGATGAAGAAGATTCCTTAAAAAGGCATGGAGATGATTCCTGCCCTAGAGGGCTTAAAACTTGCAAAACACCACAGGTAAAAGCCTGGAATATTAAAAAAAAACAAAAACATACTTTAATTTTAACCTGCTAAGAGCAGTCAGTTAATCTTTCACTAGATGGCACACTTTCTAGCAGCTAGCACTCATATATCTGTACGTGTGGGAACTGCAAACACTGCAAGGATACAAATAGCAGAAGTGCAAATGCTAAATGCTGTCACACAGCTTCATACACCGGTGGCTGTTACTGAAACGGAGGTACTTGTGTACCTTTACGTGTGGAGAGCTATGTGAAGGACCAGCTCATTCACATTACTTTACAGTGACTATATTCACTTCAGTGAAAAACCACCCATTAACTTACATAGCACAAACAGAACAATGGTGACAACGATCAGGTTTTATTAGCTGGCATCTATCACAGAATCGGATACCTGAAATTAAAGAAATATTAACACTGAGTAATAGGAAAGTGTTAGTTGCTATTCTGCTCATTTCCGAACTACTTATATCTCTTTCCTCTATTGCTTTAAAAGATGGGTGTATCGCAGCTGATTTTTGCTGGCAGGTCATAATCAGATAAGCAATGCTCGTAATTCCCCTAAGAACCTGCGAATGCGGGAGACAATCCTCACTTTAAAGCATACAATCAGCTTAAAAGTGGTACAACCAAATTGTACGCTTCTGGCTTCCACGTTTACTCAGACTTTAAATACATTCTGTTTTCGTAATAGTCTATACAGCAGTTCTCTGCTTCAGAGCCCTCCGGCTCTCTGAACAAAAACGAATAGGCCAGAACCTGCAGTCTGAACATGGATTACCTTTAAGCTCTGAAAGGAGTTCGGTATGCATTTAACCGCAGAACAAGGTCCAAAAAACCTGTTTACAGAATTATGTCCTGCGCCTCTGAGCTAAATTCCATTTTAAGTAAAAATTACTACAGATTTCGGTTATTATGTTACCTTGCTAAATGCAGATAAGGTAAGTAGGCTTTTGACCTGTAAATACAAAGGGTGACATATTGCTACTCAAGGCCAGCACCTGGTACTCCACTGAAGATGAACTGAAGTAGTCAAGGCTTTGTGCTTTTCCCCAAATATAAAGCCCGAGAGAGGAAGCATTAAAATTCTTAGCACAAGAGCTCTCCAGTGTATGCAGTGGCATTGGGACGGCTCTGTTGGTCTGCAGTATAATCTGGATTGCCAACATATGCCTCTTAGCCTGCTTGATTAGATTTAGGGAAACAAAAGTCTTTTGCTCAGCTGACCTCCATTCCCCGTTCTTGTGTACACTGGCAATTTCCTTGCAATTTCGGCAAGAATTTGCCTCTGCACCTCCGGCCTTTCTTCGTTTTCATAGCGCTCTTTGTCAGCATAGGACATATGGTACTAGAAGCAGAAGTCAGGAGAGAACCAGTTACTCATGTGTAGCAGAGAGAATATTTCAAGTATTCTGTTTGGAAACACTTTTGTCTCCCACTCTTTATGTGACGTAAGATTAATCCGATGTGAAAATGTGTTTCTTAAGCAGATACAAAGAGAGACAGTAAGCACTGGTCAGGCAGAATGCTATGGAAGACATCAACAAGAAACGCAAAAGCGAAATTAAGATCACAAAACATAACATACTAGATGTGCTACTACTACTGCTGCTGCTCCTTTAGACAACTATTTTTCATGAATGACATACCTGAAGTGTTATTCATTTCAAGCACTCTTCTGGTGAGCAAGAATCTGTTTCGGCTGTAGTTTCCTATTTCTAGAACTATCATAATAAAAGCGAAACAATCTACTTTCTGTCACAGTGAACCCCAGTTTCTCTTCACCGAGGTATACTGTTATATTTATCTTTTATGGTGTACGTGACCAGAGAGGTGCAGGAGCACAGGTTTGCACACACACTTCAGTATGCACATACCTAGCACCAAATTAAAAACCATACGCTACGCACGTAGCCACAGTCCTTACTCTCACAGGCATGCAATGACAGAATCTCAGCGCTTTTAAGATAAAAATGATTCTTCTATCGCTCACTATCAGAAAGAAAAGTTTGACAAATGAAACAAGCTTAACCACTACAAAGACACCTACTCAAACCTGCAAAGGGCTCCCAGCAGAGCAGGCAATGCTAGAGTTCGAGGGAGCCTGAACGTTCACGTACGCGCCACAGTGATCTGCGGGACAGCTGGCTCAGGAGACCAGAAACCCCACTACCACTGCAAATGTCTCCATTTCTGCCTCTCCTGTGACATCGTCCATGGAAAGCGAAACCCAAAGGTTAAGGTCCTTACTCATAAGACTCCAGTAATGTTAGGCTGAGTAAGGTCAGGATTGGCTCGCAACTTGTTAAACGCTTGGACGTCAAAGACACTATAAATAAATAAGTTAATAATCATATATCTTATTATTTGCAACATTTAAAAATCCTATTATCTCCTGGAACACCTGAAAAGGCAGCTGTAAAAGTGAACACCACATCTGATTTACATTATACTCTTTGAGGAGTGAAAGGATTCTCAGAACGGTAAACTTGTCTCTTTTCCAGTGAGCTCTAGGTCACTTTCTGTCTCTTTCGGAAATCAGATCAGTTGTCCAGATCTAGAAGACCAAAGGATTTTTCGGTTCTTTCTTTAGCAATCCTGCTTCCACTCTGCAATGGATGAAAAGTGCTTAGGCGCCTACCTTTTTATCTGGCTGCACTGGGAGAGTAAAAATAGACTTCCAATATGTCCACACGAAGAGCACAAAGAGAATATGGAATATTGTAAGATAGGCCACTAAAAAAAAAAAAAAAAGAGGAAGAGAAAAATTTTCCAGTTTTGCCTTTTTTTTTTTTCCCATGCTGGTAGTTATTTAATACTGAAAAGTCTATTTTTTGATTCTGATTTTTCTTCCCTCCAATATTATTGCCCCCCCTACCTGAAAGGTGCATCTAAATCCTGTGCAGTATGGGAGGTAGTTTCTTTCTGCAGAACATATATCATGAATTAGGCACGCTTGTAAAATAATCAAGATACAATGGTGCAAAAGATATTTCATATAAGTGTCACCTGATGATGCTGAAGTATAGTCTTCTATACCTTTTTCTTCTCTAATGAGCAAAGGCCAGAAAGTGCCTGTTGTTAAACTGATTGTCCATGGGCTTGCGTAGAAGGCTGACAAGTATCAGAAAATACAGTCTCGGTAGGAGGAAGAGAAAAATGACCTCTTAAGCAAGAGTTGCATTCGTGACAGGCATAATTCCAATCTTTCACAATGACAGTTAAACAAAAAAATTTACAATACCAACGAGCATTACAATAGAGCTAATGGTTAAGGGATCGGTAGAATTTCAAGAAATCTGTGGCTGCAGTTAGGGGCTACCTATCCCACAAGCCTCCCTCTTCTCCACCTGATCCAATTCTACTGGTAAGTAAGAGCAGAGCCATAAGAGACTTCACCCCCCAGGGAAGGTGACAACACGGTACCCCTGGAGGGATGGGATTCCTTTCTCTTCCCCATATCCTAGACACAGGCAAAGCGGAACTGGCTGGCGCTGAGCAGGGTACAAGTCAATATTGCAATACTCCAGCATCTCTAAGCCAATGTTGGGTTCATTTGCTATTGAACACAAGCAGAATCACAGTATAGCTACGCTGTCAGTGTATTGTCCATCCACGCACTGCACTCTTCACCGCTTAGGAGACTCTAAAAAATAACATGCTCTAGCAGAGCTTTACAGAACCAGGAAAAAATCAAATCTCTCACTAAACGTTTTTTAGATTTGCTACAGTTCATGTAACAAAACAAAACAGCAAAACATCTCTCAGTGTAAGCAAAAGAGGTCTTGTGATTACCGAGAAAGAACTGTAATTCGCCAGATGCAACATTATCACATGAACTCCAACATGCCTCAGAGTAGTGTTATTTCAATATGCAGACTTTGGGCATGAGCAAAGCACACCACAGTTCAGAAAGCCAAAGGACAGTTCTCCTTTGGATACACAAACAATTTGTTTGTTATTTTGTTAATATTTTGTTGAGTCTTGAGTATTATCATGCAGGTATGAGACAGTTTTATTTATACGCTCTGTTTAATCACAAAAATAACCTGACTTTCCCTAAGTCTTTTAAACTTAAAATTTTAACAAACTAAGATTAAAATAACTACTACTGCTGGAAACTGAAGTTTAAAATCCAAACACCTCCTCACTTCTCAGGCAGATCGGGAGAAAATTTCACTGGCATAGAGACCAAATATAGGTTTGACACTTTCTAGCGAGATGGCAAACGATCCGATGCGGCCACAAAAATGTGGTGGATTGTTGGACTGATCATGTCAATCAATAATAATTCATTATTACCCTCTTAAGTTTGAGATGTGCCTACTAAATGTAGGCACAGCTCAGTCAGTTTTAAACTATTATTTAAGGAGAGAAATCTTGCAACAGGTTTAATTTTGCTGATAAAGCAATACAGCAGCACGTTAGAGGACACTGAGCTGGAGATGCACTAACAGATTTGGCAAGTAACTTTGTTTTTCTGCTGAATAATCATTAACAACATGCTCTCTGTAGTTTCTCTGTAAGGGTTTCAAATACTAGGATAGCTCTCTCGTGCTAAGAGAATTTCCTTGATGCAACAACCTGGAGGATTTTTAAAGATTTTTAAAAGCTGGCATTGGTATCCACGGGACAATCCGTCAGCTGAAACCAGCTAGAACCACTTCTATGCTTCGTAACCCTGGGACAGGAAATGAAGATAGAGAGGCCATCTGTTCTAGCCAGAGGCCTGCAGGGCCCTTTCAGAGACGAAGGGCAGGAATACTAAGATTGCCACTAACCCCTTTTCTCAGGGCCTGACTGTGGCCTTCCAACACTGCACCGGTGGAAACTGTCTAGCTGAGCAATTCTGCTTCTCTGCCTGATTTGCTCAGTAACCTCACGATCCTGCATCCGGGATCTCAGAACAACGTCTAGTACAGAACTAGTCTGTACTGCTGAATGAATCCGAAAAGCGCCCGAGTCAAATAACTATGAGACAGAGACTCCAACTCACCCGTGGTAGTCGCTCAAAGTTATCACCATTCAATGTATGGTTAGCGGCCAATGGAAACAAATGTATAATTTTTGGAAGAGTGTCTCTTACAAAATACCTTACAAATATTTTTCATTGAAAGTAGCAATAGAGCAATGAAAAAAAAAAAGTGGGTCCACAGACGAGAATCAGGCTTTTCTGTTTAGCTTCTAAAAGCAGCTCTGCAAACTTAAAACAGAAGCAGAGAAAAGGTCTGCGAGTGTATCCAGATAAACATATATAGAGTATTTGGGAACAGCAGAAGGGATCATAGCCCTTTAGTGCTCTTCTGCTTTTTAATGAGACTAAACAAAGGCATTTCCCAATACAGCCAAAAGTTACAGCCTTTTTTCCAACAGTACATGCTGTATACCTCATGATCTACAGTGCAGATACAGGAAGGAAAAACTGAAAGAGTGGGTTAGTTTAAAAGAATTGTGGGAAAGCCTATTTTTTCAAATGGTTTACATTTTATTCTGCTCTTGAGCGGGCAGAGCCAGTATTTAGGAATGCAGTGGCGGTGCCCTTTCATACCTTCCCCCTGAACAGCTCCAGATAAGTAAAAATATACAGATGATTCCTAATTGCTGGCATTTCTTTTAACTAGAACATTCATGAACCTTTTTACACAAGGACTAAATACCAAATGCTAAATAAAATTCACATACCTTTTTCCACAGGGTTGCTCAGAGTCACTGAAAAAGAGAAAACATATGCTTATGGAGCAAATATGATTCCCAGAAAAGCTGTTGCGACAAATTATATTCCTTATTTTATACGTACTTGAATTTGAACTTTCTTCTAAAGCAAAACAGCAAACAAAAAGTGAGCCCACAGTTTATCGTCAAACCAAAAGCATCCATAACAATTCTTTATTTACTCACGCTGACAACACCCATAAGAGGTTCGATCACTGCTACTTACGCTGTATTCTCCCTTGCTGTAGAATACATCCAGTGGCGACAGCCCTACTGCCCTGATCCTTATAGGATTATCAGGGCTCCTCTAACAACTGTCCAAATAGCATCTCTATATACGTGCTTATAAGCCTGCTTTGTGCTAGTCTCTAGGTGCTCTTGATCTTGCCTAGCAAGTCATGTCTCCAGGATCATTTCTGCATCAACGTGAATAAAAAGTCAAAAACTGTCTTGGCTTTGCCCAGTCACCTACAAAGGATACGCTACACTGACAACATCACTTTGTTGGAAGACTCCAAGACTTGGGGGACTGCACACACCAGGGACGGCCCCTTCAGTAACATGTTAGGCCATATGGAAAAATGAAGTCATCGAGGGATTGGAGTCTTCACTTCTAGCCTGCAGCCAGCATCTGGATAAGAGACTTTACTCGTCAAGACTCACTCTATCCTCTTACTTCAATAATACACTTGGAAAACGTACATCGGAGTAGGAACCAAAGAAGCCCTGCTAGTAAATAGTTTGGATCTGCAAGCTCTGCAATATACAACTATGTTTTCATAAATGAAGAAAAAAGAGATCAAATATTTGCTGTGTCTCTGCACACTCAATTACGGATGAACGAGACTCTTAGGAAACCTTCACTTTTGCCTGTGGTTTGTTGCAAATCCAGCTACAAACAGCACATCAGCTTCTCACTAATACTGTTCGGCTCCCTCCTGACAGTCATGGCACGCTTGCTGTATGGCTTTTCTAAGGTTTGAAAAGGTAAACTTTTAAGAAAAGATGACATACAAGCTTTTGCTTTTTCTCTCCTGGACGCTAAGTCATTGTTCTCGCTGGGGCAGCGACCACCAGCCAGGCAGGAGACCGGGTCCCCTCCGGAGAACGGCTTGCTGGCGGCACCAGCCATCGAAAGCCGAAGACCCCAAAACCACAAGGTATCTCGGACTACTTTCGCTCCTTGGCAATCCAGACAACTAAAGATGGAGATCAAGAATCCAAACAGACTGCCTACCGTTTGCACGCCAGAGCAGCTGAACTAGCGCTACGCAACAGAAACCTGCTTAATAAAAAAGCCAAGGCGCGAAGCCGCGTTAACGCTAGCAGCGCGGAAGGCGGACGGCGTCCCGAGCGCCGGTTTCCACTGCAAACGCCAACAGTTCGGGTTCGAATCCCAAAAGAAGCAATTTGCTCCTTCCACCTTCCGTGTAGGTAACCTCTTCCACACGGAAATAAAGCGGGTGAGAGGGAAGGCAAAGACGGGAGGACGCGCAGAGAGGAGCCATTTACAGCCGAGATCCTCGGCAGCGGGCCGAGCTCCCGCCGGCCTGACCGGGGTTGGCGGAGTGACACCGGCCCGACCCCAAACCCCCCCCCG